TCCTTACACACAGAGAGAAAGAAGAAAACTAATCAAATTCTTCTGAGTGTTTTCTCTGCTATAATTTAGTGGTAAAACTGGCAGGTTGCCTAACCATGTCAAAATGGGATACATTTGAAATGCTGTAACTATAAAATAACAAGGAAGCTTTTAGCCACATTCATGTAGAGGAGACTATGAAAATGTTTACTTGAAAAGTGGTTAGCATATGAAAAGATTAATCTAACAGGAAAATACATTTTAAAGTTGTGAAATTGTCTTGCTTCATGTGTAAATATTTTATGTAAATAAAGTGAGATCCGAGACTCATATAACATTTAGATATTTTTAACACTAAAGGCATAGCAACAGCGTGCACATAACATTTTTCAGTAACACTCATCTTGCCCTGCTATCTACACTAACGCCTTTACGTGTTTACATTAGCTTTTACTCTAATGAAGATGGCGCCGGTGGTTCTGCCGGGATAAGCTGCAGATAGAATGTAGTCAACCTCAAGGGAAGACATTGAGTGAGAGCAGGCGATTGTTCTTCTCAGCAGCTCTGATTTAAGACAATGGTGAAAAGGAGCTGATGTCAATGGCTGGTATAAGCCAAGATGGCTTTGCTTGAGGGTATTGCTGGTGGTTGTTTGCGAATCTAGGGGTGACTTTTGTGTGTGGACACTTTTCATTACTTTGTAGTTTTGAGCTCAGTTCCCTTGAGTTGTTTTCTTTTTTGCCCCTTTGTTCACTAACCAGTTCATTGGAATGTAAGACCCTATGTTTTTGAAGATCTATAGCCTGATTCTTATTTAGAAGGCCCCTTACGTTGCCAGACCTGTGTAAATTGACCTTAACGTAAATAAAAATCAGGCCTTCTCTGTTTTAGGTTAGTTTTTTTAACCTAGTTATAATTTGTTTTTGTTATTTTGGGGTATTTGATATGCTGGCTCCTTAAAGAAGAAAAGTGGATGATACCTGGGAAGGCTAATGGCCAACTGAAAGGTACTGATCTGTTTTTATGGGCAGCTGAGAGTAGGAGCAAACTCCTACTACTAGCCATGTGTCTTCTGTAGCAGTGGCCTGCTCCTCTTATTGGTCCTCTGTTACTTTTGTGGAAGACTTAATACCTACCGAATTTGTGAGGAATTTTTAAAAATTATGTTGCAAGCAATGAACATTGAGTCAAGACGTGACACAAACACTGAGGCATTTACTACTTCCTTGGCTCAAACCGTGACTACGTAGTGCGCTGCTTTGAACTCTGAAGTCATTCAAACAATCTTTGGGAATATTGCTAAGGAAGGTGCTTATCTTCTTTTTGAAATCAGATACCCATGTGGCTTAGTGAATAAAGCGCAGGATATAGACTCAGGACACCTGGGCTCTATTCCCACCTCTACTACTGGGTAACCTTGGGCAAGTTACTTTGCCTTTCTGTGCCTAAGTTTCCCCATCTCTCAAATGGGGATTGGACATTAGGAAAAACTCCCATCAGTGTAGTTAAGCACTGGAACAAATTGTCTAGGGGGTGTGTGAAATCTCAGTCACTGGAGGGGTTTTTAAGAACAGGTTAGACAGACACCAGTAAGAATGGCCTAGTTATTACTTAGTCCTGCATTGAGTGCAGGAAACTGGACCAATTGACCTGTTGAGGTCCCTTCAAGTCCTACACTTCCATGATTCTATATGGTGTGATATAAAGGATTTATCAGCAAGATATTACCAGAGGCACCCTTCCCATTATATAAGTAATTTCAAAAAAAAAAGAACCAATTCCCAAGTGCACATTTGCATCAGTTAAGCTAAAGAACATTTTATTATAAACCAGATATTGAATCTAAAATTGGTAGATTTATTTCAGATATCCAGTGCACTAAAACAGCACCCACTATTTATCATTATGAAGGTTTCTTTGATGCTATACAGAATACCTATGATTCCACCTATGTTTCTAAAAACATAACCATTAAGAGAGTTGTTGCATATTTAATTTCATGCTCCACTCGGCATAAAGCAGTTGTGGGACTGCCAGCCAGAGCAAATTAACTAACCGGTTAGATAATTTCCTACTTAATTGAAAGCAGGTAGTTTTTAAAAGTAATAATTGATTTTGCATCTAATGAATGTGTAGCTATTTCTTCCTTTTTTTATTCCTGTTTTTAAACAAGATTGCACTGAGTCTCTGTACAAAGCTGATGACAGGCACATGAAGAACAGAACTGGGAAAATGATGTATAGTTGGTTGCTGTTCATTATGGATTTAGAGTTGCAGTAGAACTATCACATTCATCATGCAGAAGGAGAGCGGGGTGTTTTGATATTGATCCTTTCACCAATAGGTCATTGCTTCAGTTCTAACCCACATCAGTAGTGACCTGAAGTTCTTACCATCTGACCACCATCCACTGGCCTATATGAAATAAGCTAGGAGTCTCACTCCAGTTGTTAGAGAACAGGTAAGTATACATCACCGCAACAGACAACAATTGGCCTGTCTTAGGAGTCTCAGCAGAAAACGAATGGGTCTGTAGCCTACAATACCCTCTCACCCTTACTGTATGTCTATATTGCATTAGAAGGTGTGACTGCAGCTCAGGTAGACGTACCCAATGCTAGCTTTAATCTAGCTAGCACACCTAAAAATAGCAGTGATTGAAAATGCAGCAGCATGGGCTATCAACACAAGTACACACCCTGCATTCCAGGCAGGCTTGTACAGCCCACTCCGAAGTCCATGCCACTGTGTCTTCACTGCTATTTTTAGAAGTGCAAGATTAAAGATAGCGTGGGTATGGCTACCCAAACTGAAATCACACCTCCAATTGTAGTTTAAACTTTGAAATAGTGACTTCAGGACGGGGTTGTGATACATTGGAATGGTACAGTGGTGTGGAGAAGCTTTGATTGCCACTTGTATCTATTTGGTGGATAAAAAGAGGGCTTTATTCTACAAGGCTGTCAAAACAGCCTCTTTCACAAGCCCTTAATTCAGGGGGGGGGGGGAGCGGAGAATTAAAGAATAATTGTTCTGATCGATTTTTTAAACAAAACATGTTCTGATTTAAAGAAACCAAAATGACTTTGTCCATCTTTTTTAACTTCTTTGAAAACTGACAAAAGGGAAAGCACATTCTGCACATTTAGGAAGTATCCAGGCAAGCTTTGTATTGACACTCCCAGGTTTTGACACATGAACAGAAAACCTGCGACGACCCAAATCCCAGACTTACTCGTTTTAGACTGGATCCTGCTTATTGCTGAGCACCCAGCAAGCCTGATTCACGTGCACAGGTGTAACTAAGGAATTTACGTTTACAATTGACACCAAGGTAAACGGTGTAAAACTGGTGTGAGACCAGAAACAGGCTCATTATTTCTCAAGCCCTTTATAAAAAAACAGGCGCTATCATCTCCACCATTTTCTTAGTAAAACTCACATTGATTTCAATGTGAGTTTTGTCAGATTACAGACTAGCAACCTTTTTTATACGACTGCTGACAGCTGCTATAAACCAGGGCTCCGTGGCATACAGGCCCAAGGTGTGTGGTTTTGTGCAGCCTTGCAATGCAGACTTGTGCCCACCACTTCCACTGTCATGACCTTACATCTTGGACACCAAGGAACTGCAGGATTAGAACTGTGGAAGGGGAAAAAAGCAAAATATGAAGAGAAAACTTTAGTCATGATGAAATAAAATATGAACTCTTTGGAAAGAGTCCTGCATGGAAGTGGTAAGATTTTGGATTCTCTCCTCTTGCCTCTGCAAAAAGGGAGAACTGCTGGCATTATTTAGCAAGCTAAAAAAAAGGATTTCCTATTGATGTGCAAGTAAGAAATCAAGACCTACAGTAGTTAGTACACATTGAAGATAATGGCAAGTCTAGACTGACTTCTCTGGAAATTAAGCATAATGAAAGCTCTATATTTCGATATTTTATTTGAGGGATAACACTAAAGTTAATGTATTTTGACTATATTTTATATATATATATATATAGACACACACACCGATCTAAATAATGCCAACATTCTTGACAATAGGTATCCCTTTGCGCACACACACACATCTTTGCGACTGTGTATATGTATGTACATAAATACATAACAGCATAGTGTGGTGCAAGAGCTTATCAGAATAAGTTTGGGATGGATGCATTATTTGGAGACAGGCAAAAACATTAGTGAATTAAGCAGAACTCATACTATATAGTGTACTCTGTATATGTGTCATATGCTACAGAAAAATTGTTATGATTGTGTTAGAGGTTTTAAACATTGTATTAAGAGTTTTTTTTCATATCCCTCCTCCTGTAAAGCTAGGTGCTGTGTTTACCATGAATTCAACTTTGCAGGGCTCACAGCAAAAGAAAAATTAAAACCAATCATGTACAACACCCCAAAAACTTATATCTAGGAAGGCTATTTAGTGTCACAAAGTGGCAAAAGTAAAGTTCATTATAACAGGCCATTTCAGAGCTAGGAACAAGTACCAGATTCCATTGATAATCTCCCCTTCCCATTTATACAATACATAAAACTCCCATTTCTAAGCTCACAGAACTCCAGAATGGTCATTAAAACTGTGACATGTTTAGCTATAGCTGTCACTGGCTCAGGAGTGACTCTTGACCAGCCTGGATCTTGGGATGGGGTAATTTTGCGGGCAGACTTCCACAGGGTGGGGGGAGATGAAGGAAGCATTTCTGTGACACACTGTTTTGTTATAAATCGCATCTGTTTGAAGCTGTTCATAGGCTTGAATTGTTAAAATAAGTTTTAGGAATAAGTTATGGGCTAGTGGACAGAGGCCAGCTGATGCTATATAAAGGTCAAAGTGCATGACACGCATGATAAATTTATCACCATAGCTCTGCAATTTGTTACATGCCTGTGCAATTTATCACAATTTCATATATATAGTCTTAGTAAAATTAAAATAAACTATTTATATTCCATTCTATATACTACAAGCTAAAAAAAAATATTAGTAATAATTGGATATTTTATTTCTGATATTTTGCTTGAAATAATGGGCCCAATCCTGCTCCCACTGAAGTCAATGGAAGTTTTGCTACTAACTTCAGTGGGAGCAGGAACAGACTTCATCTACTGCACTGAAGAGGGCGCTATTCTGAATGACAAACTCCTCTGACCACCATAACTAAATATCTATTTTTACAATACTCTCCCCTCTTACAGGTTCTCAAAAGGCTGCTACAAAAATTAGGCTGAGAGTTTGTTGGTAGTCCATTGCTAATGATATTGTCACAGTTTTCATCTCTGACTACGCATATGATGCTGAAGTCCAAACCCTGATGCATAGAGTTGGCCGCACTGAGGGCATGGGAAGTCTGTATCTATGTTTGATGAAGTAGCTCTGTGGCGCCTTTCACGTACAGCCTGGAGACGATTTTGTCGAACCCATTCAAATGTGTTACATGCTGATCTTGTCAGAGACTGCCAGTGAGTCCTGTTCTGAGCCATTTGCTCGAGTTCTTGGAGACTGATGCCAGCCCATTGGAGACTGCTCTTCAGGTTATCTTGAAACGCTTATACTGATGACCCTTCTTTCTTTTGCCCTGACTCAGCTTCCCATACAAGATCTGTTTTGGGGGACGGTGGTCTTCCATTCTGATGACATGTCCAGTTCACCTAAGATGCACTCTCAGTAGCATTTCTTCAATGCTGGTTGTTTGCTCTTTCAAGGACCTTAATATATTGACAGGTTTCAGAGTAGTAGCCGTGTTAGTCTGTATCCGCAAAAAGAAGAACAGGAGTACTTGTGGCACCTTAGAGACTAACAAATTTATTAGAGCATAAGCTTTCATGGACTACAGCCCACTTCTTGGTCTCTCTGCCCTGCCAGCGAATGCTCATTATTGAACAGAGGGAGTGCATGTGAAATTGCTCAAGCTCTTTAATGTGATGTCTATAAAGAGTCCACGTCTCAGATCCATACAGGAGAGATGTTAGAACCACTGCACTGTAGATCTTCAACTTGGTGGAGAGAGATGTTGTGTTGGTTAAGGACTTTTGTTCTTAGTCAGCCAAGGGCCTGAATGGCTTTACTAATTCTGGAGGAAATTTCCTTATCAAGGGAACCATCACTCAAGATGGTGCTGCCCAAATACTTGAACTGATCCACATTTTTCAGCTGTGTGCCTTTGATGAAGATGGCTGACACTGGGGCATTGGAATGAGGTGGTGGTTGGAACAAGACCTCTGTCTCCCGAGATTGATGGTGAGGCCAAAGAACTGGGATGCTTCAGAAAATCTGTCAACGCTGACCTGAAGGTCGTCGTGTCTATGGACCATCAAGGCGCAGTCGGCTGCAAAAAGTGCCTTGACAAGCCTCTCCAGCATCTTCGTCATACATTGAGTCTTCAAAGAGCAGGAAGGGAGCCATTGAGTTGGTAGCAGATGTATATCCCCTGGTCCAAGTCCCTTGTGGTCTGGCTGAGGACACAGGCAAAGAACAAGTTTACTTAATCTGTAAATATCCTCTTGTGAGTAAATTTGAATTTAGAAGGACTCTTGGCAAGTCCTTAACTGCAGCTATTTCCCCCACAAGCTTTAGATGGAAACGGAGTAGTTGAAGATGACAAAAGTATAACTATAGATTAAGATCTAATAAATCAATCACAGAGAGTAGGAATGGGTATTCAAAACATGTTCATAATTCCTTAGAAAAGGTTAGCTGATAAGAATTACATGTATGAGCAAAATGAGATCTGAGGTTTAAAAGTTTTTGGGGGAAATTGGATATAAAAATTCTAATCTATCTTCCAAGAAAACAAATGTGCATTAGTTGTCAATTATATCAGGCTTTCAATTTCAAGGCCGAACTGAAATTTTGGTGATATGACACTTTGATTAAGAGGGCAACAAGAGGGCTTCTTGAAGAAAGAGAAACAGCAGCACAGCCTTGATGCCTGATTCTGCACCACTCAAGTCAATAGGAGTTTTGCCATTGACTCCAATGAGTGCTGGATCAAGCCTGGGTGAATATAAAGACCCATCTACAGAGAATGGGATACAACCCTCTGATTTAAAAAAAGAAAGTAGTAGTAGTAGTTGTTGTTTCAGGAGACCAGCCTGATCAGAAGGGGAAAAAAATGTTCAGCAGAAAGAAATGCATTAAGAATCTTGGCAAAAAGGGACACCCAATCCAATGTTATGAATAAGATGTCCTGGATAGGAATATGTGAAACCCAGAGGAGCATAGGTTAAGAAACAACTCAAGAAAATACAAGACCTAGTAAACCTCCCAACCAAGTGCATATTCTTCAGCAAAGGATGGACATACTTACAGCCACTATTAAATGAGCCTAAGTCCAGATCTACACAACAGACCTATATCAGTATAACTATGTCGCTCAGGAGAGAGAAAAATCCACACCCCTGAGCGACGTAGTTATACTGACCTCGCCCCCCCGTATAGACAGCATTATGTCGACAAGAAAGCTTCTCCCATTGACATAGCTACCACCTCTTGTGGAGGTGGATTAACTACGCCGATAGGAGAAGCTCTCCCATGGGTGTAGGAGTGTCTTCACTATAGCACTACACTGCACCAGTGCAGCTGCGCCACTGTAGCGCTGTACATGAAGACAAGCCCTAAGTGTTATCTAGGCTTTCATACCTCTCAATCTATGGATGTGGAACCAGAGTCGCTAAAATGTGAAAGAATAACCAAAATGTGAAAAAATAGAGGGATATTACTGCTGATTTAATCATAGAATCAAGAAATCATAGGCAGACCACCCTCAATCAAATCATTTTAAAGGGTCCAATACAATATTTAATGGAGTGGCCACAAAATTCAAATAAAACACTACTTGCTCTGGAAGAACAAGCTCCCCATGAAGGCTTTGATCCTATAAGTTCTTGAGTGGTGCACACGGTTATATTTAAGGGAAATAAGGCAAATATAAAATTAAGCACTATGTGCAGTCCTCGTTGCTGAGTGGTTCTAAGTCTCATACCACCTGCACCCAAATCATTTATGAATAAGTTCACCGGGTAAAAGAGGAGTGGGGTATGGGTGGAGAATGGGTAGATCTGCAGAGAAAGGACTTACAACACAGTATTCATCAACCAAATAAGGGGCTTGGTTACACAATCATTGCTTATCATTGTTTACCTTGTGCTTATTTGTGAAACTCTTTGTACCCGTAATGGAAAGGATTATGCCCAAAGTGGCTTGTGCCACAGGGCTCTGCTGAAGAAAAGTGTTGAAAAACTCTGGCTGAGCTTATGCTGTCAGCTAGTCCCTGATCATTTAAATAGAGGTGCAGTATGAATGTTATTTCCTACCCTGAATGGGTGGGCCAGATCTGGTGGATGGCAGAAATGCAAGGAAAATAACCAGTGAATAAATTATCCTGTGGAAGCTTTATGTTTAAAAGTCATCTGGCCCCACAAATTGCAACCTTGCTGGCAGTCTCAGCAGAGGCCAAGGATGAAATGGACATGGAAACTGAATTACCCCTTTCAGTCTTAGTCCCTTTTGAACAGGATTGAGACACATAGGCGTCTTGGTATGGGAAAGCTTATGCTGTTGCTGTATCTTTTCTATGGATAACTAGAGGGCTTCAGTTTCCAGGGCAGCCAAGCCACTACGTTTCATGGACACAAAATTCACCCACACACAAATAGAGGTAAATAAAATGACACTGTGCAACCATCTGAACAACATCAGCTATGATTCTCCTATCCAGCATATGAAATTTTTGTGTATGCCTGCTTATGTTTAACTTTGATGATAGAATAGAAAATAGAAAAGGTTAGAGAGGCCTTTGAAAGACTTGTATTCCTAGTTGCATACTCTCTTTGGGTCAACATTAAAAATTCAAATTTTAACTATCACTGAGCCAAGGGACTAGCGTTCAGATATGGCACCAGATCACATTAGGTTTACGGTTAGTTTCAGGGTTTGAGGTACAGTCAGATCTAGGCTTTAGACCAGAAAGCACTGAGATTCAGGAGCTATTCTTATGATATTTTGACCTCAAATTGGCCTCACAATGATCTCCCAAAAATACAGCCACATATGAACCAGAATCCCAAAACTGACCCAAAACCAAAACTATAGTGAAAAGTTCAGATCCTGGGACTTGCATTCAACTCCCCATGAGCCTCCAAAGTTCAAAGGCATTTGGATTTAAAGTTCTTAATTTGGTCACTACAGTTTTTACAAGTCTATCTTGTAAGTTTATATTAGTAGACATTGAGTAACTTTGAGGCCGACTCATCCTTAACTCATGATGGCCCTGTATTTTCACTATGGCGCAACTATCACACTATCGTGGCTGTGAAAACTTTGTTCGTGGTCCCACAAGACAAAATTAAAAAGATGGCAACCTAAGTGAAGAGGAAGCACTCTTCAGAGCAAGGGGCAGCGGAAGTCAAGATACCTTGAGACAAAAAGAATTGCAGTTGAATTAATCACTACTAATAGCCAAACACATTGAAATCATGAAGCTCACATGCTAGCCACTGGGAAACTCCATGAGAAAAAGATACCCCCATCCCTGGTAGTGGATCAAACCTGAAGCTGTTGCACGACCACTAGCCCAAACTAAATTCTAGAGAAGACTTCTCTGCCATGAGCTACCCCCTGCCAACAGTGAGAAAGGACCAGAAGATCAGCATAGTGGCAGATCCTCCAGCCCTGGCCCTGTCTACCTCAAATCTGCTCCACCACAAATCTGCACAATAGCACCCCACGAGATCATGGGGTGCCAAACTCTATTCATCACAGTGGTTGCACATCCCATGTACAGCAAACCCACATCTTTCCCTGCAAACCCAATAAGCAAACTCCTTGTGCATCCTAAAAAAATTGGGGCAAACGTATTTTGGATGGCACTTTATGATCTGCCCTGAACAAGGGCAGCACTTAGCTCCACTGCCCCAGAGGCAAACTGTGGCTCCGAGTAACAATCTCCTCATTATTCCTGAGGGGATATAAATGGTGATGAGTCTTTACCTGGCACATGTAAGTTACTTGGTGTGCCAGAACAGCTATGTTGGCCAGAACATTGGGGATTGGAGGGGGGGGGTGCAAAGCCAAGGCCACACCCCATTCTGCCCCCTCCCACCCAGCTGCATGGGGGAAAGAGGATATGGAGGCTTTGCAGAGCCTGCCCTGCAACCCATGATGTGAGAATAAGGGAATGCCTTACTCCCTTGCATGTGGCATGTAGAGGCGGAGCTAGTGACAATCTAGCCCAAAATAAAAGAATAATAATTAATCACTTGATTTACTGACACTCAAGACCTCTTGATACCTTGACAAAAGGTAACTACAAATGTATATCAGGATAAGGCAACCTGCTTAAATACATTCCAGTTATCAGAAGCATGAGACGTGAAACCCAGTGGATACAAACAAATTCAAAAATAAAGAGAGAAAATCTTGAGTGTAGCTCAGACATCTGCCACTAACATATCAGGGTGACTGTTTGATGTTACTGATGCCTGGGATGAGTACAGAGCTGTTCACAAATCAGTAAACAAATCATTTTAAAGTCCAAGCATTCTTAAATGTAGCTATATTTTTATATTTACATTAATGATAATATCTTACTCTTTGAAGACAACATATCCTATAGGCCATGCCGTATTATGTTCAGCGAGCACATTCCTTAACATGACACTTTCCACATTTCCTTAAATTAGTGTTGCCATAATTATAATATGGACACGTCTGTTGTAGCGAATGTGAGCTGTTTCTTAAGTGGATGTGAAAAAGCATGAGAAAACCATGAACGTTCCTAATAGGCATATTTATGCACCAGACCCTGCCAGTGGAAGTGCGGAGTTCAAATGTGACTCCTGACACTCTATACGGGATATTCACCATTTCAGTTCCTGAAGAATGGTCCAGATTACACTGAGTCACAGTTGCTGCTGCCTGGCTGTAGATCACCATAGGCTGCTGTAGGCCTTAATCTTGAAAGTACTGACATAGGCACCGATCCAGCAAAGCACTTAAGCATTTAGCAGATTTCCATATGAAGCTCTCCCCTGCAGCATAGGCAACAGTAAAGGCTTGATCATGCACAGTGCAGGTGTCAAGTGTTGCACATTAAAAAAGTGCTAGCTAGAAAGTGATGAATGGCACAGGGAGCAAGAGTGTTCCATATGGAAATCTGCTAAATGAAAACTCAGTTGTGTAGTAGTAAGGGGGGAGTAAACAATAGCAGCTGCAGGTGGACCTCACCCTGAAACAGGTAAGTACGAGTTTGCTTTTGAATAAATGTTGAATCCTTGTGCTTAACAAATTCAAAATAATGTGAAGAAGATAATCAGTGATCATTATACACAGTCTATTTATATCAAGATGCCAACTATGGCAGACTGGCTCTTTCCAATCTAAACAATTTGGTTTCAATGTTATACATTAAAGACACAAAAGAGCAATTATAATCAAACTTAAAGAGTCCATAATTTTATTTAAAGTAACATTTTGCTGCATTCCCATTTTTATTAAAAATCAGTACGGTAGTACTTTAAAATTGTGCAAAATACTATCGTTATTAATTTTTTTGAGTCACATGGAATGCAATTATTTTTTCTTAAATAGGGTTCTCATAGCTTTGTTTAGTATTGCTGCCCATAATAAAGAATACTATTTGTAGTTGTTTTCAGTTATAAAGTAGAATCAATAAATTGCAAGGCTACAGGTAACTACTCTTCATTAGATGAAGAGAGTGGTTTGAGCTAGCTGTCTGAGTACCGTATTTTTGACACAGGTTCCTTGTGGTTTGGGAAAGTCACAGTACTGCTGACTTGAAACTTTTAAAAGAAGAGGAGTCAGGCACCAAAAATCATGAGATTATTATTGCTAAAAATCTCATGATTTCTAGCAATAATAAAGTAGGGATTCTTTTTATTTGGCCTCTTGATTTTTGAATCTTCAGTTACAGTCATGTCACGTTTTCAAGCTTTTCTCCAGAAGCACAAGGGTTAGAAACCTACCTATTTTTCAAATGAAAGCTGTGGTCCTCAGCCACTTGAGTTCAAGAGCTAGGGCTTCAACAGAAATATCACAAAAGACTCACAATAAAATCATGAAAGTTTTCCAAAGGGGATTTTTCCAGTAAAGCAGAAGTAGCTACATTTGTTTCTATTTAGATTTTACAGTTTGGGTCAAAAAGTTGTAAAGATCCAGCAGGCACCTGATGCCAGCTCCAGGGTTTTTGTGGTCCTCATACACCTGGGTGCAACAAGGTTCTTTTTTTTTTTTTTGGTTGCAGCAGGAACAGCTACATCTGTTCTCTACTCATGCCATGGAAATTTTGGGAGGAAAAGGCCAACAATTGGTTGGATCCAAGGGGCACAGCTGACCCTTTTTGCAGCATTCATGCTCCAGGATGCACTGGGGTCTGGATTGTCTACGTTGCACTTCATACACAAGAGCAGCTAGACTCAGTCTCTATTTTGTTCCTACTCTTCGGTGGCTTGGGGCCAAAAGCTGTCAAGAACCCTCAGGCTCCAAGAAGATTCAAGATTTTGCCTTTTCCCTCTGCAGCACATTTTCACCGGAACGCACTTGGCATTTCCAAGGGGCTTTGCAAAGATCAGTTAATTTGAGTTGTAATTATTATTGGTGCTGCAAACGCCTTTGCCCCGACTCATTCCTTTTAGCCCGACTAGGGACGCCGCTGGATGAGCGGGGAGCAGTTCCCCCGTGCAGGGCTCATTTTGCACCGTCCCTCTGGCGCGGCGCACCAGCAGCAGCGGCGCAAGGCAGGCACGACCCTAGGGGATGAGACTCAAAGCGCGCGCGCGCGCGCGCACAGTCCCACGCCTCCCCACAGGCAGAGCGCGCGCACCACCCGAGTCCCAAGCCGGCCGCGGAAGGCCCCATCGGCGCCTGCGCTGTGGGCCCAACGCCGCTCGCTGTGTGCAGCTGGAAGTCATTGTGCTGAGATTGGCGTCCGCGTTGCCACGGCGACCGCCCTGGCGGCGCCAGCTGGGCCGCAGTGTGAATGGATGATGTCACGCGCCCGGCGCCGGCCAGTCTGGGCAGTCACAGCCAATGAATCAGCTGAGGAGCTGGGCTGGGGGGGAGAGAAGAGCAGCGCGCGGGGTGCGCACTGGCAGCGCGAGACGGAGAGGGGAAGCCGCAGGCGCTGTGTGTCCCACAGCGTTCCTTGGCTGTCGCTAACCTTCCCCCATTCCCACGCGCTACCACAGCCGCTGCTTCGCCCACGCGCAGTGTTGCTCCCTATAGGGTCCCGTCCCGTGCCTCGTAGGAACCCGCCGCGGCAGAGTCCCTCAGTAGATGCAAGTTGCAAACTCATCGAGGTGCACCTCGAAAGACGAATCATTCATTTGCACATTGCAAACGAGTGTATTGTTATTTTGTATTGCTCTATTAATAGTCCAGCATCGCGGGGACTTGCGAACTAAGGGCCTGATGTTGCGAACTTTTATTTACCTGAGTAGTCCTGACAGAAGATGAATTCCTAATGAAGTCAATGAACTACTTGACTCAGTAAAAAAATGCAGAATGGGGCACTAAGGTTTGAGCTGCACATGTAAAAGCATTACTGAGCCAAATTTTGTTTTCAGTTACAGTCACACAACCTCAGGTTGGAATTGCACAGACATAACAGCAGAATTTGGCCCCTTCACAGTTCCCCAGTTGCACATATAAGACCATATCACATAGGTGTAAAATGCAAATATATGTAGTTACATCTGGACGCTTGTGTGGTTATGCACATGTGCACACTCAGTCTTAATGTGTTTTCACATCACCTAGTCCATTTTAAACAATACAAAATAATAAATAATAATTTGCCCTTACACTCACATTGACCTCTGTTTATGAGTGAAGGAAGGAATCCCTCCCCATCCAGTAGTTAAATTGTACCCGGCTTCATTCCCACTGAATATTTCTCCCATGTTATTTTTTCTCCATTATAGGTTTTATTTTCTATGTGGTGAATGGAGGATTTGTTCCTCATGGTTTATGATATGCTTCTTAAAGTGATCACTACCATTTATCCCCCTTTAGATCTGTCTGTTGCTGAAGTGCGGAGCAGCTGGACGTTTGTTCCAAACTACCAGTTCTCAATCATTTGAATGCAGACGTCTTCATTTTTTATTAATTTAAAAACAATTTTCAAAGTACACCTCTACCTCAATATAACGCTGTCCTCGGGAGCCAAAAAATCTTACTGCGTTATAGGTGAAACCACGTTATATCAAACTTGCTTTGATCTGCCGGAGTGCGCAGCCCCGCCCCCCTGGAGCACTGCTTTACCGCTTTATATCAGAATTCGTGTTATATCGGGTCACGTTATATCGGGGTAGAGGTGTATTTCATTCATGGGATGAAGGCTCTTTTTTCACTATTTCAATTAGATTTAAAATCTCAATATTTTTAAACTTTACTCCTTCAGATTGCCACAGGGTCAGAGCCCTGTTAGCAACAAGATGCACCCATCACTGCAAAAGTTGGAGAAACACAAAGAAATGCTAATAGTGAAGTGATAAATCTGGTTTTCAAAATGATACGCTGATTATATTTATTTAGGCTGATTCTGCAAACATGCACAACAGCTTGCAATGTACTGTTTATTTTGTTTTAGTATAACTTTCATCATTAATTCTCAATGTAATTGTTATTCTGTATGATGGGATAAATTCCTAAAGGAAGAATATGCTATCTGGGTCCCTCATTAATATCAGGGGGCTTAGGACGAGGACCATAATGCAAAATGTGTGCTAGGTGCTTCCAAACCAATAAGGAGACAAGAGCCTGGCCTATACACAAAACTTCATTAGTTTTAGGCTTTATCTACACTTTTGTTGCTCAGGGGTGTGAAAACAACACTCCCTGAATGACAAAAATTTTAACAACAAAAAGCACTGGTGTGGACAGCACTTCGTCAGCAGGAGCCGCACTCCTGGCGACAAAGCTCCTGCCCCTAGTTGGAGTTGGTTTATTTTGTCACCAGGAGAGCTCTCTCCTGGTGATAAAAAGCAGTTACACTGTGTACCTTACAGTGACGCAGCTGCAGCCGTTATAAGGTGAGCAGTGCAGACATAGCCTAAGCAAAGACTGTGTGATATGTAGATTGTAATGGATTTTTTACCTTTAGTCCTTTTGGTATGAACTCAAATGACCATGAGGGCCACATGAGGACTAGTACATTGGCCCGAGGGCCGCATTACTGACACCTCCCCCTCCGCCGCCCTCAGCCCCACCCCCACTCCACCCCTTCCATGAGGCCCCGCCCCTGCCCCACCTCTTCCCACCCCTTCCCTACCCCCATTCCAACCCCTTCCCCGAAATCCCCACCCCAACTCTGCCCCCTCCCTGCTCCCAGGGGGTGCAGGAGGGGTGTGGGGTGGGCTCAGGGCAGGGAGTTGGGGT